ATATATATATATATATATTGCACTTTGCCTTTTTAGTTGCTGTCATTCATATAAAAACAACTTTAGCAGCATTTATGGGTGTTTTAATGCTTCTGTAAACCCACGTTTTGTTTGCCTTGATAAGCCTTTCTGCACACGTGTTTGAATTTTGGTTTCTGTCTTCTCCTTGGGAAGGAAGCTCAGTTAGAATAAAATAAGAATGCATTTACCTTTTATTGATCTAATCATTCATGCATATGCTACACACACTTCAGTTTCCATTCCCTGGAGGTATCCTCATGTATGTTTAGATGTTTAGTTGATAATCTCACAGTTGACATGGATAAAAAGATAATATTTGAAATGTTCTTGTTCAGGTCTATTTTGTTGCTTTTATTTTCACAAAACATGTTGTTTAGATTTTAATACGTGCACGAATATAAATGTTTGAGAGACTTGTGTTAGAGTTTATTACTACATCCTTATTTACCCAAGGTGGTTCGGTCAAAACTGGCATTATTATGTCTTGGCAGACTGTGTCACCAGAGGAGAAGAGGTGTGTTTGTATTAAAGTCATGATTTGTCGATCAGACTTGATCAAATTCCGAGTTACCCTGTGAGTAAAGCAAAGCCTTTTCTAAGTCTTAACTGTCAGAGAGAGTTCAGGTTTATTTTGGTCTGAATCCCAGAGAGCTTTGGTCTGTTTTTAGACACGATGTGTGTATTTTTAGTAACACCCAGTCTGTGGCACAAAGARAGTTTTTGGCCTTGATGCTGTTCGTCTTTGGGCTGCTGCATCGTCTCAGTTATCTTTCCCTGATTTGTTTGTTGGTATGAACTTGAACAATCCTTCCTTTTTAAAGATCAGGATACTGATGAGGAACACTCATAAGGAAATATCGAATTAAAGATGGACATTTTCTCTTTCATTTTAGTTGTAGGATACTTGAATAGGGTGTGTTAACGTTTGTCCAGCTTGGGGAGGGCATGCAGTCATGTCCAGTAAAGGGTGCTTCAGGAGTATGAAACATCAGGCCAGCTACTTTGGGATCAAACAAACTCTAGTATTGATCCCATCCTGCTGGTATTGATATGATCTAAATCCAACATTGGTATGTTGGTGGTAAATGGTAAATGGCTTGAACTAATATAGGGCCTTATAAAGTCCATATGCACCAAAGCACTTTACACTTCATTCACACATTCACTCACACGTGGTAAGCTACAGCCATAGCTGCCCTGGGGCACACTGACAGAGGCGGGGGCTGCCATGCACCGGCGCCACCGGACCCTCTGACCACCATCAGTACACAAGGTGGGTGAAGTGTCTTGCCTAAGACTGAGAGAGTTGGAATGGGGGTTCGAACTGGCAACCTATCAGTCAGTTACGGGATGACTTCTTTAACCAGTCCACCACAGCTGGCCAGGGCATGACAAATTAAAAAAGACAATGCAACTGGATTGAGCTGTATACCCCTACCTCAATGACAGAAAAGTCAGATGAAATGCGACATAACTGTTCAGACTGCAGTCACTTTGAAAACCATCAAGTGTGTGTCTGTTTTAGAACCACATATGAAAAAGATGGATTTGTCACATTCAGACTCATTAAAAAATCAGATATCTCATGTGGGCAAAAAACAAAAGGGAGATTTTGTCCATTTTTACATTCCATTGTGAACATAGCCTTCAACTCTCGAGCAGAACCACTTATCTGGGCCTTGTCGGCAGCAACAAGGTTGTAGCTTTGCTCTGCTGTGGTGAAGGAGCTGATCCAAATGGCAAAATTATCCATTTACTCGTTCATCATCCAGCCCTCATGGATTAAAAACAAACAAACAAGCTCTTGAATACATGTTACAGAAATTGACTTCATTTGGAGAGATGAGGTGAGGATCTGTCACCTGGGGGGGGGCAGCTCTGAGTAGACCTGTTTCTTCAAAAAGTGTCAAACTTTGTTGATGTGGGCTTCTGACGTCTCCCTCTGGAGGTGTTCTTGGGCATTTCTCACTGTGAGGAAACCTCAGTGTAGACCATGATGGATTATATATGTGATCTATCAGGGGAGAGGGATGTTAGTTTCCCTCCTTGACCTGTTATCATCAACCCAACAGCTAAGCAGAAAATATGTGGTTAAATGGAAGTTAAAGACTCTGCTTCCTGGCTCAGTTTTGGTAGATTTCATGGTCTGGGTTAGAATTAGTTGTCAGGTCTTGTTTAAGGTTTTCCTCTACAGTTGGTTGGGGGAATGAGAATCATTGGAATGACTGTTGGATCAATGCAGATCTTTGTGTTTTTTAAAGGGATCCCTGATTAGTTGTAACATTAGACTTTATTTAATAAACATAAATTTTAACTGTAAAATAA